TTACAAAACACTCTTATCCCAAGGTTGTGTGTAAATCACTATTCACCTCTATCCCATTTAGCCCATGCATACCTCCCTAAGTCTTCCCCTAGCTTCATTGTTCATCTGCCACCCTCCCACTTCTTGTGTATTGCCCTGCCTGTCCCCTAACCTAGTATGTGAATTACTCTTCCTTCACTCCTACCCCTTGTAATCACAAAAAAGTGCTTCTTTCAGTTTGGAAACCTTTTAAGTTTTTGCAATAATAGTATCATATAATATCTGTATTTGTGTGATGGACTAATTTCACTCAGCATAATGCCCTCCAGGTTCCTCCATTTATGAGGTGTTTTGCACATTCATTGTTATTTTTCAAGGTTGCATAATATTCCAATGTGTGTATGTACCAAAGTTTATGTATCCATTCTTCCATTGATGGGCATTTAGGCTGTCTTCATCATTTTGCTGTTGTGAATAGTGCTGTGATGAACGTTGGTGTGCATATATCCACTCATGTCCTGGGTCTTATTTCTTTTGGATATATATACCAAGTAGAGGAATTATTGGTATTTCTGTTTCCAACTTTCTTAGGAAGCGTCATCCTGTTTTCCAGAGTGGTTGAACCATTTTATAGTCCTACCAGCAATGTAAAGGAGCTCTGGTAGTATAGTGGTTACAAATTGGGCTGCAAACCTCAGGGTCAGCAGTTCGAAACTACTAGCTGTTCTGTGGGAGAAAGATGAAGCTTTCTGCTCCCGTAAAGATTTATAACCTCGGAAACCCACAGCACATTACCACCACCACCACCAGCAATGTAGGAGGGTCCCAGTCTCTCCACACCCTTGCCAGTATTTGTTGCTTTCCAATTTTTTTAACTGCACTGTTAATGTTGGTATGAGATGATATCTCATTGTTGCTTTGATTTGCATCTCTCTGCTGGCTGTTGAGTCCTGGTGGAACACTGTGGTTAATGCACCCAGATTGCAAAGTCATTTGAACTGAAAGGTCAGTAGTTCAAGCTCACCAGCTGCTCCTTGGAAACCCTATACAGGGTCGCTATGGGTCGGAACCTACTAAACAGCACACAACAACAGCAGTAACAACAATGGCTAATGAAGGAGCTCTGGTAGCGTAGTGCATATGAGGTAGACTGCTAATCTCATGGTCAGCAGTTCGAAACTATCAGAGGTTCCGAGGGAGAAAGATGAGGCTTTCTGTGCTCATAAAGATTTAAACCTCGGAATCCCTATACAGGTTTGCTATGAATTGGAACTGATTCCACGGCCCATAACCACCATCACCAGTGGCTAATGAGGAGTCCTGTTGTGGTGCTGTAAGATAAGCACTAGAATGCAAGGTCTGTTTGAACCGAAAGGTTGATGGTTCAAACTCACCAGCTACTTCTCAGAAACCCTACCCTGGGTTGCTATCTATGAGTTGGACCCGACTCGATGGCACTTAACAACACCAGTCTTGGTTTGGTTGGGTTTCAGAGATGTTAGAGCCTGTGTGCTAAGCTAGAAGCACAGGCATTGCATGTTTCATTTTCATCCATCCACCAGTACGCTCCAGCTCTTTCTACCATCCACTGCAGTTAGTTTATTTCTCACATTACAGCACAGGCTTTACTTTTAGGTGCAGCTTTCCCCATCCACTCTATGCTCATTGTGCTTGCACTCCTGCCACACTTTTCTTGTTACTACTCTTGACATTGAGCGTGTTACTGTTGTTATTAGGTGCCATCAAGTCAGTACCGACCTTAGGCACAGCAGAACAAAACAATGCCTGATCTTGGGCCAACCTCACTGCTGTTGCCATGCTTGAGTCCATCGATGCTGCCACTTGGCCAATCTATCTCGTTGAGGGTCTTCCTCTTTTTCTTTGATCCTCCACCTTACCAAACATGATATCCTTCTCCAGCAACTAGTCCCTCCTGACAACATGTCCGAAGTATGAGAGATAAAGTTTGGCCATCTTGGCCTCCAAACTCTGGCTGCACTTCTTCCAGCACAGATTTGTTGGTTCTTTGGGCAGCCTGTGGCACTTTCAAAATTCTCCTCCAACACCATAACTAAAAACCATCAATTCTTCTATGGTCTTCCTTATTCATTGTCCAGCTTTCGCATGCATATGAGGTTATTGAAAATACCATAGCTTGGGTCAGGTGC